GCCACAGCTCAAGGGGATGGAGTAAACTTTCTTCTCTTTGCATGGAATGAATTTCTTTTCGTGCTTGACAGTGCATCCAATCAGAATCCGGTTGTTATTTACCCGTTATTGACTTAAACCAACACGCTCTTCTACTAAGCATGCTATACTTTTGGTTATACAGTTTCGGATAGCCGAAAACTTGCTGGTGCATGTTTCTTTATGGAAGAGTTATTGTAAAAGGTCACAAGGGACAGCGCATGTATCTTAAAATGAGCGGTGCGGGCGGTATCGGTGTTAGAGCACCGCAGCTCGGTAGCTCGTGCGTGGAGCAGCTCGCTGCAGAAGGAACCTGCGAGAAACCCCGGCGATCGAATCACTGTCGCTAACTACCGCAAAGTTAAATGTGTGATTGCAGGTCTGTGAATACTTGAATAGTAGTTTCGTGTAGATTTTGTTACTTTGTTGTGCTGTGCAGTGAACGTTTTTTTTTCTTTGTATAACGAGCGTGCCTAATAAAAAGAGAACTTGCAAAAGAAGTTTGGACTTATGCTCAGACTGGCGATGTGCGCCCATCTTAAGCCGCTAAACAGCAGCGGCTGGGCGTGCTTTGCATTCATTCATTGACGATTTTATGAGAACTGGCTGTCACTGAACATGCACTGTTGCTAAGCCGATCTCAATCGAGCGAGGCAAAGTCAAGTGCAATTGTTTCGGAAGCGTCGGACATTCGCAAAAAAAGGTAAACACACTTTTTTTTGTTCCAAAAAAGATTACATCGTATTGTAGAAGAACGAGACGGCGGCAGTGGGAGCAGTTCCCTCTTCTCTCCACATCAGCGACAATAAGATGCAAATTCGTTCGGAGTTCGGAGGCTGCTCCGAACTGCGAACGAACTCGCATCTTTTTGTCGCCGAGGGTGAGAGAAAGGAAGGAACACACTTCTCTCACCCTCTCCCATAACCAAGCGGTTGCCATGACGACGGTGCGCGTATTGTTTTGTCTATTTCTTATTTCTTTTGGAGAAACCCAACGCCCGTTAGGGGAGATTTGGCGCTGCCGTCTGCAATTGGAGTCCCAATGGGACCGAGAAGTTTGCGTGGCGCCCCCTTACGGCGAACCGGGGTGACGTCACGGCGAGGAGAGAATTTTTCCCCGGCTCGCCCCGCTCGCCCTGTGGAGGCTGCGACGACGCTAGCTGTCGGCGCGCTCGTTCCTATTTCATTTTTTGGCGTGTTTTTCGTAGGAAGTTTAATATTTTTTTATGTGCCTTTATTGAGGTATGGCCCGTAGCTTCAGGCGAAACTTCAACCAACATTTTAAGCATGGTTGACAGGGTAGGCAACGCATGAATCGGAGCTGGTATATGAAAATAAAGAAATATGGCCACAATTTCAGGAGCATCACTATAGATTTACATCTCGCACAAAAAGTGCTGCTGATGGTCTGAATGAATTGGCAGGTTATGTATACTATTTTTTGTTTTGTATCTCCGTTTTTAAACAAGTTCGCCGAAGCAGAAAAGCTGCATGCCGCTCGGGTAACATGTTAAATACGGTCTGGGCCATGGGGAGAGAATCACAAGTAAGACAGCCCAAGTGCAGGGGCAAAGTAAAAAAAACAAGGAACATTTATTGCATACATTGCTCGCATTTGACCTTTGCTGGATTCGGATAGTATTTCAATGGACTACACGGGTGATATCTGTGGACCTGTTTATATCAACCCTCAATCTTGTCTTGTCTTGTTGACTTGTCTATATCAACCCTCGTTATTAGTTCGTTAAGCCCTAAAATTGAGATTTTACTTAAACCGAATTTTCCTGGAGCTAAAATACCAGAACCTTTTCTCACGCAGAATGTCGCCCTTCACGGGTTCCACATTTTGTGCTACTAATGCAACTACCACTGGACAGGCGTTCGAATGCTTGCTTTTACTCCTGTTTTCATCTGTTGTCAGATAGTACAGCTGTAGGGAGTTTGGAGGCTGAGGAAGCTTTTGGAGACCTGCAGCAGTGTCTCTTTTAATTGGAAATGACAATTCAGACTAAACGGTGTATTTTCCGAATAACCAAAGCTGGAATAAAAGTGTCAGGAAAAAGTATAAACATTCCAAATTGCGGCACATTTGCTGTGCATATTTTGGGCAGTTCAATACATATCATACAGGCAACTGCGGGTAATTCGGCCGTTTTTGCTGCTACCATACGAACTAAATTCCAATAATTGTGCATCTTCTATGAAATATGCCTGCATACGTGTATAAACTATGTAATTAATTTACGAAGAAGCTACATTTATGTAAAGCAACCCTGTTCTATGAGCACTTCAAAGATGATCAGACACAGGGCCTTTAAAACATCTGCGAACCAGCGTATGCAGAGCGGCAGCGCAAAGTCGGAGTCCCGAGCTAATTTGCCGACCACCCAAAGGCCCTTGATATGAATGCAATTTCAAATGCCTGCAAGGCGGGATGTAGTATTCTCCTAAATCATGAACATGCAAGGAACAGAATTCCAGCGTCCGAAACACTTGCGCCAACGCTCCACCGATCCTTCGCTAAATTGCCTTGTGTCGTGTGGACGGGCGGTGAGGTTCATCGGCGGAATTGCCTCCGCCGATAGCTTTCGGGATTTGTAACCCAATTTTCAAGGTAAAAGGGACAAGCAGGCTTATAAAATGTACGGAAGCACGTCAATATCAGCCTAACTCAACGTTTTGTACACCGGGTAAACGAAGTCCAGCGCTTCGAAGAGCTTGCGGCACACAACGCCAAACCAGGAAACCGGTGCTGGGAAGCGAGCCGATGCGAGGTCGCGGAGCGGAGTACTCCCCCTGACGTCACGGTACGCCTCACCCAATCAGGGCGCGGCGACCGCAGCGACGCTTGTGTTCGCTCTCGGGGCTATAGTCCGCCGGTTGGTTTTACTAGTTATATAATATAATGAAGCGAAGCAGTCTCCAACTGATCAAACACCTAACTACTGCAGTGCAAAGCGGAACAGTACACAAGAAAAAGTTGCATTACGACTAGCGGGTGCTTTTCGTTTCGCTTTTCGAAACTTTCTGCAAGGCTGCTGCAAGCCTCGCTTTGCCTTCGACAAGTAATGAATGTCCAATTTCAATGCCTCCAAAGAGACATTGAGACATCCCGCTGCAGGCGTTGCCAAGCAATTCCGTAAAACCGCTTGCCAACATTTTACTGTTCCCGACGTGCCAGATTTTCGTTAAAATAAGCAAACGTAAAGCAATGGATTGCAAGCGACCCGGCTGGTGCCTCTCTCGTGCAATAATGTTCGCATGCACGTGAGGGCAACTTCGGCAGCTTGCAGTCGCATGTGCTTCGTCGCGCGAGCGGAGACGGCTGTTCAATCGAAACCGAAACCATGCCACTCCGCTCCCTCGCCAACTGGTTCCCAATGTAACTGTCCAGCAGCGCGTGCTTGCCAGGCCTGCAGACGAGATACAAGCTAAACACACCGAAAAAAAAAAAAAGAGCCTGAGCGCGTCGATGCAAGACATGGCGAGCCAGGGTCAAAAAGTTGGAGCGCTTTGTGCAACGACTGAACTAGAGACAAACAAACGCGCTGTGCGGGTTCAGCGTGCAGACATTGCCTTCCTTGCTTTAGCTCACTTCTCCTCACCAACTTTCTTTTGCGGCAGATTTTTTTACGTACCCGGGTCCCTCTCGAAAGAAAGCCCATTGAGAGAAACCTAGGTAATCAATACTTCGACGCAGCAGTCTGAGTTAAAGAAGGATTTTTGTAGTAGCATAATTTAAACAATAACAGGATGTTGATGACCTTGCGGAGGTCCTTACGTTTCAGTTTAGAAAGCGCCATATCCGCAGCGACGTGGGCACGGCAACACCCGACGTCATGCAACCACGGTGACTGGTAGGCAGGGACCAAATATAGTTTTCCGACAACCATTGCTTTGAGTCCATATCACATGAGCGAATGACGTTTTAGCGGAGAGCAATAATTGAGCGAATCGTAAGCGCAGCGCGCGTTGCAAAGCGCCGCGCGCTGCGCTTACGACGCTTTGCGGCGACGGCCTGCGGCGGCTCATTGCAAAACTGTGAACCCACTTGTCCCACCCCAAAACGCCGCTTTGCGGCGTCCGACAATTCGCTGTCATTCCGTGAAACGTGGGCATTCGCTAAAACGTCATTTGATCAAGTGAGTGCCTCCCTAAGGCATGGCTGTACCCGGCACGCTAGCGTCGAAGCGTTAGCACACGGTTGCATCAGCGCTTGCATCTATCGTTGTAAAAATTTTAAAGACGCAAGACGAGACCCACGAGACGACTAGGGCACAAAACGAGAAACGGCGAGAAAAACCATGCAAGACCGGATGGACGATTGATGCAAAGCACTTTGTGTCGGGCGGCCACTTGCGCCAGCTAGCTCAGACATGCTCAATTACGGTATTCAGTTTAGTTTCGGTTTTGAAAGGCGACCGAAATTGGTCCTTTGGCGCAGCCTTGGCGCAGATTACCCATTTTTCGGCAAAATGTAGCAGGATGTATCAGTGTTAGCCCCTTGGCGCAGTTTGGCGCAGCAATCACATCACTGCTTCAAACAAGATTCCTTCGTATGAAATTTGCAGCAAAAAGTGGAACTGAGAAAAATGCATACAAACATTAAGCTTCAAAAATGCATTCAAACATTAACATTAAACAAGGAATCAACCAAGCTGGCCGTTTGCTTCATCTTGCATATCATCGCATAATCACCATCATTAGACGCGGCACTGCAGGCCTCTATGGTACCGGCCTTTCAGCGGTGCACTGGCTCTCCTGAGCCAATAAGGACTATTATGTATCGTTATTATTTGCGCTTATGCTTCCAAAACATATTTTTCTGGTCAAAATTAAAACTTGGACCACAGAGCCACACCCGATGAAAACTCCCATTATTTCTTTTAGGAAAATTAAAACAGCCACTCAGGCACGCATGCTTGATTTCAGATCACACCATTGTTCTTTTTCACCCCATGCAAGTAGGCAGAGATTGGACACTTTAGAAGAACCACCATTTCATTTTGCTTGAGGTTTGTGAATACATTCATGTATACATATACATAGGTGTCTATGTGTGTATGTGTATTTTATACAGGGTAACATTCTCATGGGTGTATGTGTAACACATAAAAACCATCCCATGCACACACATGCTGCAACAAGAGCAAGACTGCAATACTTTCAATAGATCCGGCAGCAGTTCCTTACATCTAAAAGTAAATATTCTGACTGCTCATCCTCACACTTCTTCAAAAGCAGATGCAGTAATGTAAAAAAAATGCACAAATGTTTGGCAAAGTTTTCTTCTTGCATCTACACAAAAAAGACGGGAGAAAAATGTTATGAATTCTGGGGAAAAGAAGAGCAAAAACAACTCTAGGAAGGCGACCAACAAGATGTTCAGAAACATGCTCGCTCCATCACGCCTTATGTCAAGTACGCAACAAAGGCTATGGGCATGAGCTCGCAAAGGTCTTAGAAATACCTCCGTCACAGAAGCGTAAAAGAAGGCAGTCATCAAAGCCCTGCATTGTTGGGTACCCAAGTTGTACGAGAAAAAAAATGCAACCACACAGACATTAGAGTAGAGGTCTACGTACCAAGGAGGTCAGAACCACGTCCCCGTGGCAAGGAGGTACCGACTAAATGCAAAAGCAGTCTAACGCACATACCTGAAAACTATTTGTGACAACAGCAAGAAGGCCACCAAACACAATATACAAAAAGAAAACACTGGCACAATCTCAAAGACACCGAGGCGGAAAGATTGTGAAGCTGGAAACGTGAGTCGTGCATCTGCACGGGAGGAGGTACAACTGGCAACCATTGTTCACATTCTAGTCCTATAGATACAAAAATTGCAATGTGCCGCACAAGTGCCCGCATGGCGGCACACTCCAAAGGCCCCGCACGTCGCGGGTGGATTGCTAAACAACCGGCAGTTCGTCGTCGGGCGACTCGACGAGCCGCCTTTTTCTAAACCAGACTGACTTCAGGATGGGAGTGGCAGGGACTTTGCGGTTTGTACGAAAATAGTTTACACGACTGGAGGAAGTGCACAGAGTGCCGTGGTGGAGAAAAAGAAGACCTTGAGCATTGGAAGGTCGGCAAGGCGTCCCTTGTAACACGCGGCAAGGAACGCCTCGCCAGGGGGGGCGGGCGCAACACGAACGAGACGCACGTCGTTTCCACGCATGTGCAGAGGCGCTTCCCAGCTGGTTGGAAGCAGCTCCAGCCGGCTGGGAAGTGCAAACACGCAAAACACGGCATTCTTTTGCCACCTGAAACAGGACCTTGCGTCGTCCTACGAGAGAAGTGGGAACCAGCTGGCGAGGCCCGGAAACCTTTTACACAACCGTTTGGTGCCCTGTGAATGTGGGCATCCAAGAGGTGAACATACCCTAGCTAGTTATGGCACATGGGGAACCTGGGCTTTCCGAAGACACCTGGGAAAAGAGGCTCGACAACGCGCCCCGGCGCGGAGACAAACCCCCATTGTCCCGCATCTGTGTTGGTCGTGCTCGGTTGCTTGGTAGTCAAGTTGGCACGCAAGATTTATGTTTCCGCGTGGCGTCACGTAGCCGGCTAGGAATGCCGGGCCGGGAAGCGAGGCAGAAGTAGTCTTGAGCGTAAGCAAAACTCCCGAAAGCGACGGATGCGTCCAAAATGACGTTAACAATACGACAATCTGTGAAAGCGCCAAACTACCAGGCAGGGCATTGGAAGCAGTGCAAGCAGACAGAACAAGGTTACGTCTGCCGGGACATTGGTATTCTTACTGGCTGCAACTCGATTGCCAAGACCTGCCCAGCTGCAAAAGGAAGGTGCTCGGAAAGGCACTTTCCTTTTGCCGGCTTTGCGCTCACTTCGGGAAAGCAAATAGGACAAAAATATGCCGCCGCTACTGCATAGCCAAGCTCGACACAAATGCCAGGCGTGCCCGAGACAAGCAAAAAATGGAAAAAGAAAAACGGCCCGGAAAACTATTTTGTGCGAAACCGATTTAGAAATGGGAGGTATTAACCTCGTGAACTACGCAGTAATCGCATTCTTGTTCGAAGCGATGCAACTGCTTCGTCTACTTCACGGTGAAAAGAAATGGGGATGCACTTGGACACGCTGGTTTGAGGTATAAAATAGGAGGTTTGGAAGCATAGTGGGTCCTAGCCTCGAGCTATTCACCAGTGTGGAAGGTCATCAAATCCCTATGCACAAAGAAATTGACCGTAACCATTAAGATGGCCCGGGACCGGCGCTTCTCCCAAGCAGACGACTCATCGAAATGCAACGCCGTCTCGAGAACCTTCAGGAGGAGTCTGGGATGACAACAATTGAGGACCTCCTGCTTAAGACACTTCTGCACTGAAAATGTTCAAGTGACCCTCCCTACTTCTTTTTGTTACAAAACAATATGCCACTCCAAACCATAATTTGATTCCTGGGTTGGGTAAATTTGCAAGGCTATTTATCCCTCAATTCGAAAAACGGGAAATACTGTTACCTTAACCCTTGGGACCATATTTTCCCCCACCCGCCCGAAACGGAGACGGGCCTGTCTCGGCGCACCTCTCAACCCTGCCGGGTGGAAGGACATTCCTTCCGGCACACACAATGACCACGGGGACAGCTCGTAACCAAAGAAAGGAAAGAGGCCTCGCCTCTCCAAGAGACAAGGCAGAATGAGCCCACGTTTTGCGCAGATTGCCAGAGAGGTCGCTACCGCCACCAGGCTAGAGTGGGTTTGTCCTAGAAGGCACTGGTGCACGGGAAACGAGCCAAACAACCGACTGGCCAGGCGACCCCAAAGGCGGGTAAGGGGCAGGCTCCAGCCCCCCACTTCCGGGTCGCTCTCAGGGAATGTCCCTTCCCAAGGGCCCAAACCCAAACGAGTTTTCCCCACATTGTCCTTCCTCGGCCCTGCTAGAAACCTCAATAACCTAAAGCGTAGTGGAAACGGATCGAGTCGGCAAAACAATGGAAATGACGTGGAGACAGAAACAATTCTCGAGCGAGGACATTTCTCCGGACAACTGTCAAAGGAAAGAAAAACGAGAGGAATAAATAGACGCGAAAGAGGAATGCTCGTCGTAACAACCGCACAAAGCAAAAGGGCGAGAAAACACGGTCCCAAGAAGAGCCAAGGGGGTGCGGCACATCCTCGCTCAGAACAGGCCGCAGTCCTTCAGGTTGTTCTTGATGATGACGTCGGTGACGGCGTCAAACACAAACTGGATGTTGTTGGTGTCCGTGGCACACGTGAAGTGCGTGTAGATCTCCTTGGTGTCCCGGCGCTTGTTGAGGGACTCAAACTTCATCTGGATGTAGGCCGCCGCCTCTTCGTACGTGTTGCTCCCTGCGCAGATCGGGCCATTGGTTGGCCTGCGCCAAACACTCGCGGGAAAGGGCAGCCCACCACCGGTGTCAAAGCAACATCTGGGGCCCTAATCTGGACACTTGGCGAGAAAGTCGGCAAGAAATCTGGCCGCCGTGATTCGCCAACACCGCACTTGACGTCGGCCAATCGTAGCCATCGGATTTCTCGCCGGCTTTTTTGCCAAGTGCCCAGAGAAGGGCCCCTGGAGTCATCTTCCTCCGTCCAGCGTGTGCTGTGTTCTCTCGCTAATTTGACCCTCACTAATAGCTCTTTTCTCTTAGCGTTTTGAAAATGCATAATGACTGCGAGAAGTTTGGTGAAAATAGGTTTTAGAACAGTTCAATCCCGACCCATCAAGTGGCATTTTTATACAAACTCTTCAATTAGGAACATCCCAAATATGGCCGTTTTCACGTTTTTAACCAAAAAGTGTGCTTTCGTGCAAAAGAATAATATATAAAAAAAAAGACCTTTCCCATGAAGACATGCACAGTCGGAAAGAATTAAAGCCTAGGCGACCGTGTACCGAAATTTCACAACCGGCAAAGGTCAGGGGACCATTCATACTAAGATGATTTCGATGAGCGTGTTGACGTAGCTACTGAATCTACGAAAGCTAAACACGAAGGATGGACACAAACGCCCACCCTCGTGGTTAGACATGGCTCGACGTCCATCCGCCCCCTCCCCCACCATGTCTTACCAAGCGACGTCGGTGCAAGCCATGTATAGGGTTCTTGCACGAGACCACGGTGCAATGCTACTTTGGAAATCTTAAAGGAACCCGCCGGAATCCATGTTGGCGGCATTCGTCGCTGTCACGCTACATTTTGTGCGCTTTGAGGCCGTGTTTGCGCCGTAGTTTGTCCGCTCACTCGAGGTTTAAAAGGACGGTTGTGCCATACTTAATTTTTTTAGCCGTAAAAGTCAACAACAAAATGGTGCTACGGCCAGCAGTATTGTTCTTTTTAGAATTCCGGCAATCATTAGGAACCAGGTGAAGGCAACGCTCAAGCAATCGGTTCGGCGGCGTCACAAATGGCTCAACCGATATGCCGGCCCAATCTTGACGAAAATCTTACTGCAAACTAGAGGTTTAATTTTTTGGACTGCACTTGGTGTCAGATGAGAAACCTCTTTGCGACTAACCAGGGACAAGTAAAGCGGACGAAACTATTTGTGCGCCAGCTAAAAAGTTGGAGGACCATCTACAGTCCCGACAAATTTTGCACAATGCCCCTCAATTATTTAGCGTATAACTAGCGGCACTCATTTTCTTGTCAGTCACTGCAAACGATTACCAGACGACGCCTTTTTTCTGTACTACTATTCAGCAATTTTATGGCTTTACGGCTACTGCTGCCGCAATAAGACGCCGAATGCCTCCAACATTGTGTCAATGCACCGATGACAGACGACAATGCTGTTTTCGATTTCGAGTCTAACTGGAAGTGAGCTCAGGTGTAAGAAGCCCATAGTGCTGATATCATATTTACTCAAAAGTAACGCAAGTTTTTTTTTTTTTTTTTTTAATTTCCTCTTTTTAATTTGGGGGTTCTCGTTATAATCGAAACGCCTCAAAATTTGCCTCGGCGGTGTCGCAGCACTGGCTCTTTAAAATGGCTAGGACAAATCTCGCGATCTTTCAATCTTGTGCTGGCAACATATACACGCTGGAAACAGCCAATCCAATCCTACTTTTGTTTGCGACTCGTTGCACCCATGTTAGGGTTACGGGTTACCTTCACAACGCTTTCTCTTTCTGTTAGGGTTAGCATACCCATGTGGCCCGTGTTTTGTGAGCTGCTGCTACGTGCTTCTGCGACTGGACTCGAGCGAATGGCGACGCGACGAGCTCAGTACGACGCCCGCTTTAAAAGAAGTGCAATTATGATGGCGGGGGAAATCGGAAACTCTGCTGCGGCTCGACGGGTAGATGTGACAGAATCGACTATCCGTGGGTGGAGGCTCCAGCGTGAAGTGCTCTTCAAGTGTGAACCCGGCCGAAAAGGCTTCCGCGGACCACGTTGTAGTACTTTTTAAGGTACTTTTTTCCCCTCACTAACTCGCGTTACATTCACATTCTTTTTCTTTTTTTTTTTTGCGCTGTAAAAAGTCACCCCTCGCGTTACAATCATGGTCGCGTTACATTCGAGTAAATACGGTACTAATTGTTCCATTGTTCAATTTTGCATTTTTTACCTCTCGATTACATATCGCCAAAAACCTAATTCTTCACCCCCTCTTTTAGCTATACATAATAAACAATATTATCCGTTTTTGTTTTGTTACTGCAAAATAAAATAAAAAAACAAATTTCAGATCACTTTTTATGCTGTCCTCTGCAAAGTGCATTAGAGTGTATTTTAAACAGTCCAATCATTTTATAATGGCCAGTCTATTTTCATTTGTTTTTCCCATGAGAAACTCCCCGATTTTTAATGACAGAAGTTACGCTGGAACCAAATCTTTCTTGTTATTGAATCTAAGTCACTTTTGCAGTGTTTCCTCTTATAAATGTCTCTTTTGAACACCTACAATAACTTTTATGGCAAAATCGCACGGTAAGAGGCTAGGCTGCAGCCTTGTATTGTTTCATAATTTTCTTAAAACATTTTTTTCTGCCGCTTGGTTCACTTGTGCCGGAGATATCAGAAACATTTGCCTGATTGCACTCATTTTGTCGCAATTTATTTCCAATTGACGGGTGCAAGGGGTGTAACAATTAGATGATCAACACATGAATCGTAGCATTTGCCACGGCGACGTTAAAGTTTTTTTTTTTTAAAAAAGCAGAGCCAAGTTTTTAAAAAGCTTTTCGCGCACAAAACCTTTTTTTTCTGCGAAAGGGAGTTAGCAGTTTGAGGCCCTGGAGTCAAGGTCGTCGTCCCACTGGAGCAAGAAAGGGGAAGAGTGTTGGCAGAGGGAGACTCACCCGGGTACTCTGGAAAGCAGATGGTGAGGGGCGACCGGACAATCTTCTCCTCGAACAGGTCCTTCTTGTTGAGGAAGAGGATGATGGAGGTCTCCACAAACCACTTGTTGTTGCAGATGGAATCAAACAGCTTCATGCTCTCAATCATGCGGTTCTGCAACAGGGCATCCACTACTTGTACACTCCCAAAACAACCACCTAACAAGACCTCGCACAAAATGCACCCCGAGAAAAAGACAAGGTTCGGGCTGCACATTTCCACTTTTGTCCACTCAAAAATGACGACAGTTGGCGATTGTGGTAACGCAAGAAAGGAAGGCTCCCACTTTAACTCATTCGGTACCATGCCCATTAGCTATCGATTGCTCGGAATCGACGGATTTCGCGGGCTGCCCAAATTTCATTTTCGTGCGCAGGAACACATTTCGCCATCTTGTGGATGGCCGAGAACTACAGCTTCGATTTCATTTCGCGCTATCTCCCAAGTTGGGGAGTTATCAGAAATGGCAGTGACTACCGTAATATCCCGAGTTATCGCCCAACCTCCTGCCGCCCGGAATTCATAAAAAATCGTGAGCCATTCCACTGCATTGCATTCCATTGCATGACCAGCGAAGCTGTTTAGCGCAAGACACAGACCCACCCCTAGGAGCCAATGAAACTAGACAAGCGCAACAGGACCACCACCACGAGTGCAAAAGGAAACTAGGCACGCAAGCGCTTGATGACAAAGAGAAGGGTTTTCCAGGTTTTCCCTGACAATTTCAGGTGAAATTCCCTGACCACTGTATAGGCAGTTAAATACATAAGACCATTACAACACAAGGCATTGAGCACTGTGAGGATAATTTTGGACGGGCTTAATCCAATTTGCATATTCCGAAATATTCCAGTGCATACAGTCCGGATTAAACGAGCACTTTCTTGCCGCCGACATCATCAGTGAAGAGGCCACTTCCGGAAGCACGATGACAGCACGACGCTCAACCACACACATCAATAACTGAACGGCAGCATGGCAGCCAGATGCACACTTTTGGATACTTTTGGCTTAAGGCTTCGATTGGATTGGGGTCTGTGGCTTTCCCATTTGTTACTAGATCTAGCACCTCTAACTGGATCTAGCCTAGTTTCGTACCCTCAACCCAATCCAATCGAAAGCTTGGACTGGATTTGCCGGCTGTTCCCTTTGCATCAGGTAGCACACTCTACATTGGGTGATCAGAGCACATGCTCTGCTCTAAGCAGAATTTATTGCCTATTTTTCTGCCCCTAAGTCCTCAAGTCTTTGCTCAGGGCACTCGATGGCCTTTCTGACTGATTTTCTCTGACTGGGCTCGCTTTTTGATAATATCCCTGACAATTCCTAGATTTTTCCCAGTAATTACAATTTCCCCAAAAATACCCTGTTTTTTCCGTCGCTAGACACCCTGGTTTAACTGAACCAATTAAGAAATATAAAATTGTTCTTTTTAGCTTATATTTCAAAATGTTACTATAAATATTAGTCAGGATATGCCGAACTTGGAGCATTTCTTTTTAAGCTCCTTCGGCTTTTCTTGGTTTAAGTGCACCGCAGATTTTCTAGTTCCCCGCAAAACTAACATGGCGCCTTTCTTGCGTGCGTCATCACTGGTACGGCGTATCTTCGGTGCCTTCGACAAACTCCTAGTTTGCCCTGTAGAATTTTTGCGAAGTTTGGCATTCAAAAATTGTCAAAACTAACCAAGCAAGTGGCGTGCAATGAGTGTGCACAAGAGAAACAGCACAAACTGGGACTCTCCATTGTTTCCATACATAGGTTGGTTAGTGAGCTCACCGGCGTAAAAGGCAGGGATTGAGCCCAGGATACCTCGGTTAAGCTTTTGCCGTGCCAGCGGTGGTGTGCCACTGACTGACCGACCGACCCCCCCCCTTCCCCCCAGGGGCAGCGGTAACTCAACTAAACAAGATTCGGCTTTGCGCCGTAACGTGTGCATGCTCCTATTTCAGCGCGCTGGCACTGGCTTTTTAGCACCTGAAGAGTTTACGTACCAGCAATTTCGAAACCGCAGCACTGGTGAAATGAACAGCATTTCTTAAGGGGGGACATCACCCGAAAAAGTAAATTTTTGAACCACTTATCTGATTTAAATTATATTTACAGGGCTTGTTTCTGCTGATGTTGAGAACATTTCTGCCAAATTTTGTTAACCTGGGTGAAGTACAAAAAAAACTGCAAACGTTCAAAGATGAAAGTGGGCGTGCCTGCGTAGGAAAACTATAGTTTTGAAATTACTTTTAAATTTGTTGTTTTCATATGTTATATTGCATTAGGACAGTTCAGAGCAGATAACTATGGAGCTATATTTCTATGTTATACCACCTTTCATGACAAAAAAGTCATATAAACACAAATACAGTTTCTTAGATTTCCATCCTTTGTCCAAAATTTTTGTTTTTGAGCATGAAAATGACAAAAATAAAAAATACAAGCTCATAGTTATCTTCCCCTTTAAATTTCACCCCAGAAAAACTCATAAAAATGAATCCAAGTTATGTGATAACAAAACGATAGTTTTCCTAAAGTGAAATTTATGCCAGACAGTGGAACGGAGAAAAACGCATTCAAAGTGCTCCAACCTCTACCTTTTCTTTAGCATTGGTGGACTGAAAATAATTTATAAAAATTAACTATACAGTACAATCTAATGAAACTTTCTGGGAATACCCTCTAGATGTTTGTGGATGTAAATGTGACATTTTCAAAATGAATGTTTTTTTGCAGAAATTGTTTTTTCTGGATAGTGTCCCCCCTTAAATCGACGCCGCACATCCGCGCCAGTCTCGAGAAAAATGGAGATGGCCAGATCGACCACGGTATAATTTACCTCGCTGGTCGGAGTGCTTCGTTTAAAGTATTGGCTTGTATGTGGAAATGCGGTTATGCTTGCGTGCATGCTTGGCAATCGTGATCCTCAGACAAAGAGATGAACTGTAGCAAATCCGTGTCTGTCATGCCAAAACCAAACCAAAAGAGTCGGGAACTACCGGGCGCAATAATACGGAGCCGTTAGCTTTGGCCCCTGATTCGTCCCCTGCTTCTAGCTTCCTCTTTATTGCCACAGAAAGTTGACCCCAAATATATAACTAATGCTATACCGTTCCCTAAAACCCCACAAACGTTGTACAGGCACATCGCTATGTGATAGCACGAATTTGGCTTTGCGCAAACAATTTTTCACGCTCAACTGCGTTACCTGTATTGAAAACACTTTCGTCGGTCCCGCAGACTTCGTTATGAAGGTTTGATGGTGCATTGTTTCTATGGGGAGTTGGCCAGTCCAGTGCCGAATTGCCGTAAAATGTGCTACAATGCATAAACTGGGAACGCAATATAGGGGTTCCACCGCATACGTCGACATTCTTTGACCATGTTTATAGACCGCTCTCGTGCGACGGTTGCCACATTGAAACATGACGTAGTTGGTAAGCATACATACCAGAGAAAAAGCATATTCTTGGCACAAACCCCTTCAGTTCTAGGGCCTTCCAATGGGCAAATAAAGTGATTTGCTTCCCAAACTCAGCTATGTCAACACTGAACATGGCGGCTGCCCCGGAAAAAAGAAGTGTGGAGCCTAGGGTTCCTGCTACCGACACACGCTTACCGGTAGAGAAGGCCAGTATACTATGGCAAGGAAAAAAGAAAATATATCTAAGGAAATTTATTCACACGCATACCACGGAATGTGGCTCAAGGCAATTGTACACCAGCAAACTGTAACGCGGCAACTAAACTCAAATAGCTTTCCCCCCCAATGGAATATCCTTTTCATTTTTAAGTTTAATGTCAAATGTTTAAATAAATATGCCTAATTGAAAACATCAAAATTTGCTGCAGCGGAACATAATGCATCAAAAGGAAAGAACAGTAAATCTTTTTCGGCTTACTGTTTCCTTCTTACGGATGCTTACTTTTACCCACATGCTCTAGCGCAAATTTAGAACCCTACGTTTGTGTTGTTTCGACCATTGTGAGTTGCAGGCTTTTTGCCTTGTGTGGCCATCTTCAATAAAAAAGTATTTTGCAGCAACCCTCGACGCAGTCTGCTTTTAAAATACCATATTTGCACGAATGTAACGCAAGTTTTTTTTTTTAAATTACGTGCTCCAAAACGCACCTCGCGTTATATTCGGAATCGAGTTCAGCCACGAGGCGCGCGAGTCTGGATAAAGCCAGAGGAGAAAGCCATCCCTCCTGCCCAATGCATGAGATCGGGTGGGAAAAGAAGTGGGGGTGTGGGAGGGCATTTACTCGCTATTGGGCCATGTGAAGGGGCAAATAGAAAACATAAAAAAACATTTTTATCGCTTTTGTGTTCGTACAACGCGCGCACGCAGCAGAAACTCGGCGTGCGCCATGCGGGAATGCGGGCACTGGCCAATTCGAGCCAAGCCAAGCCAAGCCGGGCCAAGTCAAGTCAACACAAGCCAAGCCCACCAACCGCGTTTACGCAATCGTGCACCACGAGGCATTTGTTTTGTGCAGAGGGACCAGAAAGAGAAGTGTGATCGTGTATCGGATTCAGCAGTATTCTTTTCTGCCTGCGCATTGTTTAGTTTCTGCTCCAGAGTGGTCTGGTGTTGGTGTGTTGGTGCTTCTGCTTGGTGCCTTGTTTGGATTGTGGGCTGCCGAGGAGGAGCTCGCACGGAAGAAAAAGGAACTACCAGACAAGCAGGTGCTGTGCTGCTTGCCAAGTGGATTGTAAACGGAAGGACCTGAGCAGTGAGGATGAGCGCAGTCAAAACCAGGGTGTCGAACCGAAAAAAATACGGGTTCGGTTACGGTTCAGGTAAATTAATTTTGTTCCGGTTCAGTTCCGGTTCGATTAATTCGATCCGCGAACTGGTTCGGGGCGCTGAACCGGTTCACGAACCGGTTCGGAAATTATAAATGACAAATTGCAACATCAAAATAAATTACAAATAAAACATCTGAAATCAGCACATACAAAACGGGATACATCGTAGTGTAAGGCTCAGGGATTTCTACCAGGAATGGTTTCTTTATGTGCACTCAAAGGTTACCTCACCAACGTTTACACATTCGGACTTCATCTAATTGGGTCCGGCGCAGTAGATGTAAAATCCGCGACCTCCTTACAAACCCACTTACAAGTAGAACTCGCTAACTATCCCGCCACCTCGGCGTGTAAGCAATTGAAGGAACAGTGGGGAGAAAATACAGCTTTCTTTATTTGAACTAGCCTTCGGTAACTCACATTAGACCCTTAAAGAAGTTTTCATTAAACAAGATACGGAATATGAAAAACACTTCACCGAACGCAACGCCAGAAGGACGTGATAGGATAAATATTAAACTAGAAGAGTTCGCTGTCTCACAAATATGTTAGCTTCTAAGTGCCTATACGAAACCGGATGCATTACTATCAAACTTCACAGCCTTTTCTTTTCTCATTCCGATAGAAGCAAGCTTCAAGAAGTCGCGCGTTCTAGAAACGTGTTATGAAATGAGCTCACAGCAGCATTTAGGATTTACGAGATTGTAGAAAAATGAAATCCCGTGACGCAATCTTTTTTTTTTTGCACAGCCTTCCAATTCTTTTTTTTTCCGTGCAAACCGCGACCAGCGCAATACTGGTTCCTATGTCAAGATTCGTGGATGCAGCGTTTGTCAAGATTCATGGATGCAGCGTTTATATTCCTAAGACTGAGTGGAGAAGAAAAATATGTAAGCGAGGTATGTGTCAGCTGACGGCACTTAAAAAACAAATGGCATTGACAGCACATTCATTGTCAACAGCGCGTGGCCGAACCGTTTTGACATGAGCCGGTAACCATTATTTTTTTTCTGGTTCAGTTCCCGTTCGGGTTCATCGCGATAACAATATAAAGGTTCGGGTTTGGGTTCAGTTCCGGAAAAAATACCGGTTCAGTTCCGGTTCGACACCCTGGTCAAAACATAAACTGATATTTCTTCTATTTCCATTGACTTTTTACTTCTGCTATGCCCCCCGAGTGCGAGAAATTTACGCGGCTTCGGTTCGCGTTATAATAGTAATAATATTTTTTTTTTCTTTTTGAGGGCATAAAATCCTGCCCGTGCGTTATATTTGTGGTCGCGTTATATTCGTGCAAATATGGTAATTACGCTAATTTAATTTTGGCGTTTGGCTAGCAATTTTCTCTCGCAGTAGCTCCACCTTGGGGGGAGGGACAACGGCGTGTCTGTTCTCCCGCAAGAACAAAGGTTGCTTCCCGCAATGCTGGGATAGAAAATGGTTTACCATCGCGATTTACAGGATTACCAGAGACCTCCGTGCTTCCCAGTCATTCCGCGGCGCCATCGAGTAAATTCCGAATTTTACGAGAGTGTGAAATGCGGAACATTTTGAGAATTTTGGTATATACTGCGGGACGCGATACACAAGCCCTCGATGCGGGAGAGTTCCTGAAGTGGCGGGACGGGTGGTCAACCTACTGAAGTCCCACATTTAAAGAAGGTCAACCTGCCACCGAGTACGGTAGTTCTCCTCGGCTTCAAGAGGCAATGTGACACACTCCATTGGCAGAGTTGCTTGTCATCATCCCAAAAGCGCTATTGGCCTGGAAAAGGGGCGAAGGGCGGGGCCTCACCATCTCCTCGTCTTCGGCCAGGACAAGGTCGTAGCCGCTCAGCGCCACGCAGAAGATGATGGCCGTGACGCCCTCGAAGCAGTGGATCCACTTCTTGCGCTCGGAGCGCTGGCCGCCCACGTCAAACATCCTGCCGGGACGGGCAGGCGGTTAACATAATCGTCTGGAGGAACCATTTCGTTCGCTTCAGAACGGCGAGGCATACAACACATCAGTGGTCCTAATGCGACTTTACTGCCGCATAAATGAAGGAGAACATCAATTGCGAGCTTTGTATATGGCGTTTTTCTGGCTTTAATTCATGCAGGAACACAGACGTCACTTGTCGTATAAAAATAAACAAAGTTGACGCCTAACCTATCGTTTGATTTTTTTCCCGTCTCTCTGACCACTGACGCTGCCCATTTGCCACATTCTTTCTACCCCAGCTGCCGCAGGACCCCGAGAGGTCGCACCACGCTCCGCTACGACCCAAGCTGGCAGGGGTTGGACGACCGCCCTCTTAGCCGAGAAGTCGGTCAGAGGAAAGGGCCGTTCTCCCTGCCAGCTCCGCGTACCCAATCCGGCAGACTCGAGTCGCCCAGAAGGCGATGCCACAGGATCTTGAAGGTGACAAAGTCCCGTAGCGAGACTCACTTGAAGTGTAGCTCCTTGAAGACAAAGTGGGTCTCGACGATGCCGGTCGTCTTGACCCGCGTCCTGAGGACGTCCTGCTGCGTGGGCGTGTAGCTCGCCTGGGAGATGCGGTCCAGGGCATTCAGGTAGCTGCACATGAGCGTCCGTTATTCTCCTTGTTGGAAACACATGGGCCACCCTTCTGCCCCGACATCTTCATACCCTTTGCAAGTGATGTGATTGGCTTAAGCCATTTTGGAGCACCTTTTGGAGCAGCCAAAACAGTGTTTTGGAGCAGCAAAAGTGGCTTTTGGAGCAGTCCAAACAGTGTTTCGGAGCAGCAAAACTGGCTTTTGGAGCACACATTCTTAGAAAAACAAAAATATTACGAATGTACTTGTTGTGTTCTGTTCTGATGTGACGTGTTGTGACGGAACTCGCTGCCAGTGTTTTTAGTGCTGAGACATCCCACAAGTGTACAGTGCCGTAGGCGTTGCCGAGCAATTCCGAAAACAACGCTTGCCACCGTTTTGCTGGTTCCCGATGTGCCAGATTTTCGTCAAAAGTAAGCACACGCAAAACAATGAGTTGCAAGCGTCCCGGCTGGCGCCTCTGTCATGCAGTCATGTTCACATGCACGTGAGGGCAACTTCAGCAGGCTTGCAGTGGCACGTGCTCCGTTGCGCGAGCAGAGACAACGGCTGTTCAATCGAAACCAAAACACTGCCACTCCCCTCCGTCGCCAACTGGTTCCCAAAATAGTGTGCAAAATGTAACTGTCCAGCATACAAAAAAAAAAAAAGAAAAAGAAAGCAGTCGAGCGGCTTGGGCTTGCCAGGCCGGCAGGCAATGTACAAGCTAAACACACAGAAAACAAGAACCCGAGTGCATCAATGCATGACATTGCGAGCCAGGGTCAAAAAGTTCTTGGAACGCTTTGTGCAACGACCAAACTTGAGACAAACAAGTGCGATGTGCGGGTTCAACGTGAACAGATTGCTTTCTTTGCTTTAGCTCACTTCTCTTCACCAACTTTCTTTCGCGGCACATTTTCACGTACCGGGCTCCCTCTCGAAAGGAAGTCCACCAAGAGAAACCTAGGTAATCAATATTTTGACAAGCAGTCTTTGAGTTAGAAGCTTTTTTTTGTAGTAGAGTATGATTTAAAGGGACAATGAAGACGATTTTATTTAATTTTTTTAAATGGTGTTTTTATGCTTCTTGGGAACATAGCATGCTGCCCAATTTTTTGTAGACATTTGTGACGCATAATTTTGTGCCTACGAAAGAAGTAAAGAAACCGAAACTGAACAATCTCCATTCTCGTTTCTGGGCCTCCGAAAACGGAGGTGACGTAGGGAGTGACGTCAGATGTGAATAGTCGGTATCGGTAGCATTTAGGAGATTGAGACTCTGGTTACCACGGTGGGTTATAGCAGCGCGGTGGGGCGGTCGTTTCGCCGAATCTGTCAACATCTATGGCAATGCCGCTTTCGCGAGCGAGTTCGAGTTTCCGTTCAGTGACCGAACACCAACGGAATGGGAGTACGTGTGTGGCGGCCTCTGCCATCACCCGACGGAGACCGCCCAGCCGGCAACCAGCGGCCCGCATGCCGAAGGACGGACGCGGGGGAGACGCGGAGGGGAAAGCGGCAGCGATCCGGCCGTTCCGGGATCCGGTTTCTCTGCGGACGTCCTCTTTTCGTCGTCAAAGAACACAAAACTAGCGTCGCCCGAACGAATACTGGTCTTCAGTCGACCGTTGGTACAGCCATCTACAGCTACAATTTTGCAGAATCCTTCCAGTACCGTGTTCTTTTTTATTTTATTTTGTTTGCTCATAGTTGTTCGTTGCCCGCTTCGCGTCCAGCGTAGCAAAGCAAAAAACAATTATGCTGCTTTATTTACGGTTTAGTAATCATTTTCGGTCTGATTTATACTTTTCATGGTTATTCAAGTGGAAATTGGAACAGTATTCCTTAAAATCGCGAACCAAAACGTGATTGAGGGCACGTTTCTCGTTTCGACCAATCGCTGACGCGTCTCTTGTGACGTCGCGCTTCTTGGCCCCAAATCGATCACGTGACTTGGACTTGGACTCTTGGCTTCTCCCGCAACTCTCGGGGCGTCGCTCCAGTCGATCCCGGTACGATTATTACCGCGACTGTTTAATTGATTTGCGCGGCATAGAAGCGCCGGTTTCGGCTGAAATTTGGGCAGCGTGACATGAGACGTGCCTGGAACCCAGTTCAATCGCCAAAAAGATGTGCGATATTGCCTTCATTGTCCCTTTAAAGAAGGCCAGGAACGTCGATGAACAAGTTTAGAAGGCGCCATATCTGCAGCGACGTGGGGACGGCAACACCCGACGTCGCGCGACCACGGTGACTGTGGTCGCGCGAGCGTTTCAGCTCACAAATTAACTCTTGCCGCCCAAAAACATAGTTTTGTTTCACAGCATGGCTGGCACCTGGCACACTAGCGTTGGGGCGTCCGCACACGTTGATCGTTGAAAATTTTTTTAAAAAGACGTGAGACGAGATTTTTGAGACGACAGGGACAAGGGCACGGGCAATGTTGGGCATGAGGGCCGAATCGCGAGACGGCGGCAAGGAGGTTAGTACGGCGGGAAAAAACATGCAAGACCGGATGGACGATTGATGCAGGGTACTTTGTGTCGGGCAGCCGCTTATGCCACCTAGCTGACGCATGCGCTACTACGGTTCTCAGTTTAGTTTCGGTTTTGAAAGGCGACCGAAATTGCTCCTTTGGCGCAGGCTTGGCGCAGATTACCTACATTTTGGCAAAATGTAGCACGATGTAGCAGGGTTAGCCCCTTGGCGCAGTTTGGCGCAATTGGCGCAGCAATCACATCACTGCTTTGGCCACCCTTAGAAGCTTTACTCGCAACCCAGTGCAGTGCAGAGCAACGGGCGGGCCTGGGTGGATGGGCTCGCCTGGAACGGCGTCGTTGGATCAACTAATGGACCACAGAATCACCCGCTAACCTCCTTCCCCTTTTTTTCTTGCGAGTGTACGACGGCCTCGTACGAACTATGGCAAAAATTCACAATTGTAACCCCTTTTTAATGGGCGCGTATCTGAACGGATGTCTCCGTACGTAGGCAGCACAGAACGCAATGAGTCAGCAGCAAGAATGACAGAAGCACAGATCGAAAAATCCCCCTCTCGTCCACATAAAACCAACGTCCGCACACACACTATTCTTGATTCGGAATAATGCGTTTTTCCGGCCCGCTAGAAAGTATTCGATTGGCTTCCACGACAACACAGCCAATTCTGCAGCCCCTTTAAAGGCCACCGCTATGCCGCATGCTGGAAAAATACACCATAGCGAGCTAGAGCGGGGGTCTCGTACAGGCGGCCTGCAACTCTCTGGGACACGGCCCGCAAGTATCCTACAGCCTCCGTACCCACGTCTTGAACCCTACGTGCGCCTCAAAAAATGCTTCCACGATGTCCACACATTTCCACTCCTAGTCTCCTAGTGTGTTCCCATATTTCGCGCTTGAGGGTTCCTTTTTATCTGAAACACCATTGAAATACCAAAATTTTCCAATAATGCCACTATAAAAACAGCAAAAAAAATAAAAATAAAAAGGTTATTTTTAAAACGTGTTTAGTCCGATTAATTGCAGAGGGAATTGACTGACACGGAAACAACACTTGTCTCCTTATTTTCCGGTCTATACTGAGAAATTCCAGCACAATGACGGGCCAGTGGCATTTTAAATCTGTTACATCAGGTACGATCCCAAAGTAGTCGTACAAACAAATTAAGGGGGGACGCGGGTTTCAGTTTGCGAAAAATGTCAAAAAGTCGTTTTTTAGAAAGTTTGATATTTCACTTCCACGTGCCTTTTTTCTCGCGATCGCAAAGCTTTTCCGCTGAAAACTATCTCTAAATGGCCTAATTAATTACTAACAGCAGCTCAGGTAGCACAATATCTACTAAAAACGTTGAAAAACGAGTGTTTTTCGCACCCCCATAACTCCGCGACGACAAAACCGAGCGCGGCCATCTTGGTACCAAATGAAAGAGCATTTCGCCATCCACCCGTTTCCCGCGTCCGGCTCTCGTCTCCCACGTAAAGCAAACACGTAAAAAACAAAACTTCAAGCGCCCAGAAACAAAAAGAGCGGCGTCCGATTGGCCCCCGTCGCCACGTCACGCGCGGCGAGTTTCGTCATTGGCTGGCTCCGTGGTTGCCCCTAGCAACCGCCGCCGGGAGAGCGGCGTGTCGTCTGCTACGCGCGCGAAGCCACTCTTCCGTTGGTCTTTGTTCGCGCCAAAAAGTGCGCATCTGTTTCGCCTTGTGAATATTGGCTTGAAAGCAACAGTTTTCAGCTTGTTTTCCTTTGGACATTTCCTCGTCGCAATGGGACGCTCGTTCTCACAGAAGCGGAAAACGAAACAATGTTTCGGCGAACGCAAACGCAAGGCCTGGAATCGCGGCAGAAAGAAACCAAACCCTTCGGACGAATCAGAAATGATGTCTGAGTCGTCTCTTGCGGCATCACCGGTGACCCAGGACGCCACTGAACTTCTTTCTACCTCGAGTGCTGGATGTTGTACGGTGAGTGCTCACATTGTGCTTCGCTATGTGACGATCGAGGAAGCGCAGGCGTTGTCTAAAACGATCGCGGAGCGTCATCAAGAACTTGCGTCTGTTTCTGCAACAGAAAGAAAGCTAAGGCTGACATCTCAAAAGTGACCCAGCATGCCGCAAACAGCCCTGGAATTCACGCTTATTGAAATTGCGGCCATTAACAACTTGCTCGTTCACACATTGTGTCACCAGTGTGGCAAACCTGGACTGACTGCAACAGTCGACGAAGCTTGTTCTAGCTGTGAAGTTGGTGCTAAGTTGCCCAGTTTGCGGAGATATTGCAAGCGCGTGGTCATCTCCACGTCATGAAGAATCTCGAGCATTTGAGGTGAATCTCTGTTCGATGCTGGCCACGAAGGCAATTGGCAGAGGCCCTACTGGAATGAACGACTTTTGGGCAGCAATGTCCGTTTCACATGGTGGCTTACACCAGAAGACGTATCAAGAACACCAGAAGAAGCATTTCCGAAGGGCGTCAGAAGCTGCTGTCACTAAAGCTTTCTCCAGGGCTGCCACCAT